TTGTTCCTATTAAAAACGTTTTTAGTAAAAAACCACACTGGTTCTCTATATAGATTTATAGGCCAAGCAATGAAGGAAGTTTACCTCAACATAATTAGAAGTTAACATTTTTGGGGGAGATCGGTTCATTTTCATGTGCTTTAGCATATTTTATTTATAACATATTAGGTTTGCAACCTTGTACTTCCATAGGGTTTTTAGTAAGGGGTGGTTTTTAGGGGTAATTTGCGGTTTATGGAGAACGCTGTTGATTGTCGAAAACTGTCACCAAATATTTGGCCCCGTTTAGAAATTACAATGAATGCAAGAAAGGAGTACTTTTCGATGCAATTTACAACTTCCTCGCACATTAGGCAAGTCCGTGCTCGCTTAATTTTCAAGCAAAAAATTCGAACAAAAAAGCATTGGAAAGTGCATTTCATTAGCAATAATGTGGTGTTTAAAAAATTGTAATCAGATTATGCATTCGGCCGCTGCTGCATCAAATGTGCCCAAACAAGCGAAACGTTGATTCAGTGACCTTGAACAAGAACATGGTACTATTCAAGACGCTGCAGAAAAAAAAAACTATAGAAGATAAAGGGGTGTTGTCGCAGAGTTTTATATAGCAAAAAACTTCAGCTACAACAATCATTTGAAACTTTTTGTTATTGGACCATCCCTTTGAGCAGCGTCCTCCATAAACCGCAAATTACCCCTAAAAACCACCACTAACTAAAAACCCTATGGAAGTACAAGGTCGCAAACTTATTATGTTATTTAGCATAGTAAAATGGACCGATCCCCCCCAAAAAAATGTTAACTTCCAATTATGTTGAGGTAAACCCTCTTTTCAGATCCCCGTTTCTTGGACTAGTATGATCTGGACCCTAAGAGTTTTTGGGCCCTTATCAATTTTAAAACATGGGGATCTGGAATACCTAGTTAGGTCTGTCTTGAGGTACAGAAATTTGAAGGTTCGTTTGAGGTTGCCAATGCATTTGGTTGTTTCTTTCAGGGAATCTTTGAAATGCAAATAATAGCTTTTGTAATTGGGGGAACTTCAATTTTTCCAAAATAACTGTTGATACTGTCAAAGCCAGCATCAAAAAACTTAAACCAAAAAAATCTGTCGGTACTGATAATATACCAGCTTATATCATTAAAGGCTGTATAGATATTATGGCAGAACCCCTAGCTCATATATTTAACCTTGAAAAGGGTATATTTCCTGAAAGATTTAGGGCCGGTTTATTCACCTTCTGATAAACTGTCAGGTATGCAATCTGATATATAGAAACGCAATCTGTCATCCCATTGGTCGGCCAGTTATCCGCCGACCAATAGAATTATAGAAACAGTAAATTTATCTCGCAGACAGTTACCAGCAATTTATCTGAAGATGAATAAACCGGGCCTTAAGCAAGGCGGCATACATGAAGTGAAGAACTATAGACCAATCAGCATTGTTATTCCAATGGCTAAGATATTTGAATCTATACTTTGTGATAATTTGTCTAACTTTGTTGATGACTTGGTAGATATAGTCTGTGCATCCAGAGGTTACCCATAAACTTTAAAACACAGGGCTGACAATAAATTAGTACAAGACCAAGTGAACGAATTTACATTTAGTTCTATAAAGTCCTTTTTCAAACTAATTTTAAAGTTTTTGAGTTACCTACGTCGGAAATCAATGTCTATAGAGTAGTTTCCTATTTAAAATTTACTCCATAAAAAAATATTACTTGACAAAATTATATTTTCAAGTAACTTTGAAAAATGGTACACCAGCACCTGAATTAATATAGGGCCTGTCAAAGTTTTTGAACAAGATTTATACCGAAATTCCAGTGCTTCCCAAACAAAACAAAATTTTGTGTTAAGTTAGATAATAATTATGTTTCACTTGTAAACAATATGTAATAATAATAATAATGAAAGTATAATAATCTATACTCAGCACTAGATGAATATATTGCATTTTAAATAAATACGAAATGTAAATACCTATCTGTAAAAATTATATTTCTTCACAAAATTTCTTGACCACAAAACATTTTGAGAATTTCAGGTAGAACCCGTCCTCTCTTTATATTTCGCATGATTTATAGCCATGCCGTGTTTTACGACTTAGGGGTAAACTCTCGGTGCATAGACTTTAGACAACAATATGGCTTTGTTAGAGGTGAATCAACAATTTCTAATCTGTGCACTCTTGGTATTTATGTGTCTGAGGTTATCGATAGCAAATTGCAGCTCGATATCATATACACTGATGCAGAAGAGGCATTTAATAAAGTTGATCATTACATTTTACTCAAAAAAATTGATATTGATATCTCTCAGAAAACCTTCAATCTTCTTAAAACCTTATTAATTGATATATTGTATAATGTACGGGTGGGTGATGAACTCTCCGAGGTTAATACTGGAACTAAAGAAGTAGTCCATGACTCAAAGTGGAGTTGAAATTTAATTTTCAAAGAAAAATACTAAGTCTTTCTCCACAAATGAACTTTAAATTTTTCATAGAGCCCTACATGTTTTGGAACTAGAGAGTTCTATCATCAGGGGCAAGTATGCTCAGAATAAGTGCTCTTAAAACATCATCATTTGAAACATTTTAGATGAGTTCGCTGGATTTGCTGTAAAGAAAAGCCCACTTCAGATAACTGGCAGATACAGGAGATGATAGAAAATATATTCCGAAAAGTATAAAATTGGAAAAACTCACCTAGGAAAATCAAAAAAAAAAAAAAAAAAATAGGTCAAAAATTTAAAAGAAAAAACACATTAAAATACAAAAATAATTTAAAAATGTATATTCACCGAGATATTTACATATTGTGTCATTGTTTAAATTTTACTGTAAACTCTTTCTTTACTTCTTCGGCTACTTTATTCCAGAAATTGTTATTGTAATTTCACTTAGGGTAACTTCTGGAATATCTTCCGAGCCCACATTTAGTATTTTAGCCTCTGGGCATGTTGGTCGGTATATAGCTCTTTATACAAGCTTTTCACAAGTATCCCCTCTTTATCTGTTATAGTCTGAGCTTTGCTGTGTTGAGACAATGATATGTGAATGTTTATGACCAACGTGCACACTAAACCATTCCTTATTTGTCAAAAGGATCTAACGCACGGATAGAGCATCAAATAGGGGTGGCGGTACGCTGATCCTTATCTCCAAATAGATCACAGCCTTTTAGATTCCCAAAGCACCTACGTTGAAATAGAGCTGATGTTAGGATCGTTGTACTCCATTCCCAGTAAAATACTAAGCTCAAATTCCATCATAGCGCTATGATGTTGATGATCACATCCTTGTGAATTGTGGAAGGCGACCTGAACCCAAATCTAGAGAATAGGAATGCAGAGCGAGAAATATCAGTATCATTTGGCTAATACCTTTCTGTTCACTGTCCTCGCTAGGGGGAAAAGCGCATATGGCTTCAAGAGGCCTGTCTTTGCTTCTAGACATTTTCCTTATCAAAAACACGTATAATATCTGAGTCTACCGTTTTATCCAGATTCCGCCGATTCAACTTCAAGTAACTGTCGAGTACTGGGACCACAGTCTTACCCATGAACGGCTCAAACATCTTCCATGAACTGGGTCCGCTACCGGCTGCTGTGACAACATTTTAAACGCTCAGCAGCTTCACATAGTTGTACGCTCACTAACCGGTAAGATTCACCTTGCTTTAGCAATTGCCCCGGTCATAATAACGATGAGATACATCCTATAGCCCTATATTGTCAACTCAAATACAGTACATTGAACCAAGGGCTACAATAAACCCGATTTTAGTATACAACAAATAATTGAAACTAAGCAAGAAAGCACGTTCACACTAATGAACCTAGTTAGAGTGAGTGAATATTCAATGTAAAAGCAGCTGCCGCTCTTTGGCAAATCAGACGTGTCTCGCTTCTTTGCTTGTATTAGTGAAAATACATTGATGAACATTAAGTAAATAAACTTATTTCTTTAAAATTATTGTGTTCTCTGTTAACCTTCCTCTCCTGTTACCAGCAAAGCGGCTAGCTCGTGTCAGGTTAAACCCCATTTAAAAAAAAAACCTACCAAGGCAAGCAGATAAACTACCTTAGCAATGTTAAGGGCCCGTTAAAATATCATTATAATAACAATTTATTAACCAGAAAGCCAAAGCTATCACCAATGTCAACACAATGAACAAAGAATCTGATAAAAAGCGCTCACTACTATTTGTATAAAATTGATCAGCTTGTCTCTACACTCCACGAGTAATGAAAATCACAGATTCAAAAACAGATGAGGTAAAGAGCGTCAACGAAGCTTTATGCCCAAGAGTACTTTTGTTTCAAAAATGAGCCATTTAGATTTTTTTCTGTACAGTATGTAGATAAGGAATTGGGTCCTGACCAAATTGCGCAAAGCGGTTTTGAATTATGATCTGACTATATTGGTATAAGTTCTTGATGGGTTGAGACTTAGGCATCTATGATTCGAGCTAAATGTGTTTTAGGTGATTTTATAGAAACTATTTTTTTCCGAAGCTAAAAGATTTTGCCATTATTTCTAAGAGAATCCCTGTATAATTGGTAGAGTTGTCATTTATGATTTGCGTAACGGCCGCGAGAGATTCTGAATCACTTAAGAGAGCATTGAAAACAAAATCCGTTGTTAAATCACTGCACATTCACAGAAGATGCCAACGATAAGAAAGAAAACCTGTTTCTCTAAGTTGGTAAGCTTGCGCTTATATTGAACCGAGGAAAGCTTATAAGCTCGAAACCAGTATGCAATTAGTGCAGCATCAAATGATTGAGAATTCAGGTTCTCTCCATTGTCTTATAGGGTAAAACCGCACGTATTATATAATCTGGCCGTGGCCGGAATCAATACAAACTCAGTTATCAGCAGTTGATTTGGAGGTTTGATTAAATACTTGTGTTTTTTTTTTGGAGGAATCCCTTAGTCATATATTCTCAAAGAATTCGAGATAACATACATTATTGTTATGACTTACTGTAAAGTAACTCCTCTTTGGGCAGGAAAAAACAATTCATTGTCCCACGTAGCTTCGTCTCCAACCTCAAAAATTACGCTAAAACATTCGCTGCTCGATTTCTGAAACAAAAAAATTAAAATATCAACATCACAGTCATAAGTTAAAACAAAGAAAACCATCGTTATGAGGCTTGAAATGCAACCGCAACCATAAGCTTCAAAATCCACTTAAAAGCATTATGCAAAAACAAAATGACGCACTCAGCGTGTAACTCGAAGAATTAAATAGTAGTAGCGAAGTAAATTGGACAAAAGTAAAATGACGAGGAGAACGTTGAAACTTTAAAACGGAACGTGCTTTGAATGCATTGGGCCGGACGATATTTGTCGGAGTGGTTTTCGTTAAAGTCGTAGATTCGAGCTCAATTTGGCAACGAGTCTTCATCTCTCGTTCAAGTATTTTAGTTTAGGTTAGGTCATAAAAAAAAAGTAGTTGGGGACGTGACCTGAGAATTATTAGAATATATATCCTGTTCACAATCCGATGTCCACAGGTGCAGGTACATTTATCACCTTTCCCTATCAAATAGCATTGAAAGGTGATAAATTTTACCGGTACCAGTGGACATAGGATTGTGAACGGATAATAGATTTGTTATTTCAATAGCAGAGAGTAACTATTTACAAATAAATTGAGTGAGAACAAAATGTATAGATATTGTGGAAACATAAAGGAACTGATAGTTTTGACAGCTAAAACAACTTTGGATAAATTTCACATAAAAAACAGATGTATTTAATAATAGATATATATTTTTAACCTCACGTCAGGTATCTCTATTAAGACAGGTGTTTCATTCCATCCTGCTACAGTTTTTTTTTTTTTTTTCATTTCCCAATATTGTTTTCAGCTGATGTCAACTTTCTAATGTGATGTGTTCACATTTTTTAGGAACATACATACTTTATATAATGACTCCCTTTGGAAAATGGGAAAATGCCTTCGATTACTCAGTTTTTCTATCTGCTATTTTTCCAGTTTTGGAGCTCGAAATGTGTTTTATATTTTGCTTGTGAAATATGTACTGCTCCAGAAACCGTTCTGCTAGCTCTCTGTCGGCGTGTCAGCATCCTAACTCCCTCTAAAAACTAAAAACTCCTTGCAATTATTTTTGTCTAATATTAAGCCAATTTCTTAATCCCTCCATTTTTTTTTTCAAAAAACAATAATTTATTTGCTCTGAATTTCTATGCAATTATTGTAGAAAAAGTATGGTGTACAACACGTTACAAAATACCTTCCACAACCGTTCGAGTTATGTCAATTTTTTGTAAGGATTACTCAAAAAGTGAGTTCGAGATTACATACCTCATGTGAAAAGCGTCATTTTCAAAACATGTTTTTTAAGCCTATTATTTCCTACGACCGAAAATGAGAAACTTGCACTTTTTGTTACATAAGAGCACTTCAGACTATACGAGTGCTAAGGGTTTTCATCACACAGGAAAATGCTAATGAAATCTAGCAGCGTTTTTTACGACTTATATGGTATTTACCCCAGACTGCTCGGATTAATTTAAATATACATAAAATACTTTTTTGAAATATGATTACTGAGCCCCCTTTTTGCGTCCGTATGTTCACCTACCAAATATAAAGATTGTCTACATCTGTTCCAGAGTAATTACTTCTATAATTCACACAGGGTTATTATGGCTAAGCCCCAACTCTACGAAACTCGAACCCTTTCTCGTGGTTTCATTACTGAGCAATTCAAAACATTTACCGAGTTTTATTAGACCTAAACGCCTAAGAAATGTAATTAATTTGTGTTGATATTTATGGCTTCTTTTTTTTTATCCAGGCGGCTTTATATAACTTCACATGCTACACAAAATTACCATGTGATTAGTCCCCGGCATTAAATGAGAATTTTCACTGTAAATTTGCATTGAATATCCAGCGAGAAAAATTCAGACAAGCTTTCAGTAAACTAATAGTAGCTTGTCTAGTAATGAAAATTCAACTACTAACATTTACCCACCAGTTGTTTTATGCATTGTATGTTTTGTTGTTTTGGCGTCATTTTATACAATTGCTTAACAGCCATTTATCTCGCGGGAATAATTGCGTACCTGCTGTCTGTGCTAATTTTGGCACAGGATACATAAATTTGACTGCACAATAGGACATAATATGCAGCTTGGTATTCGAGTTTGGCACTATATTAGGTAACATTCTATGCATTCACATTGTGAGAGTTTTTAATGTAGTTTATTTTAAAAAGGCATGACGTCCCGCCAGAAGAGGAAAGGAAGCATGTCACACATTTTTTAGAGCTCTACAACAAAACAGTAAAGTATAATAAAATTACACCGGCATAATAAACAAAAAATTAAGTTATTAATATTGCACTCAGGAGTAGGTAATTGTAATTTTATTTAAAATGAAACACAATAGTTATCGAATTGAGATTAACTGATACTGAACATTTTCTTCAGCTTCTTCTTGGTCTGTCGTGTCTTCTTTTTCCCCCCTGGCTCCCACTCAATGATTTGCTTGGATATTCTTGTATCTGCCATTCTTCGTACATGTCGAACCGATTAAGTTGTTTGTCTTTGATATCGTCTAAAATAGTATGTATCACTTTCAAAATTTCTCTAAATCCACTACGTCAGGAAGTTCATTTCAGTTGCCTCCAGCATTTTTGCAACCAGACCTCTAAACTGAATGTGACTATGTAGTTTTGTTTGTTCTGATACTTTGGTCCCACAGTACTCCATTTAGTAGGGATTTGTCTTCCGTCCTTGGATCATCCGAACTTTAGTTGCTTCGTCTGACTTCCCTTATACGAGATTTCAATTTCCAAATATTTTTATTCAGTTCATTGTTTCATTTCTTGCCCGTTATTCAATTTCAGGTTTCGTTGTTCTCCTTCCGTGGCCATACATTCTGTTTTCATCAAATTTACTGGCAAACTCCATTTCTCGTATCTCTATCAATTCACGTGTCTTCTAGACCATCATAATCCTGTGCAATTTGCATCTGCAAAGCTTAAAGTATATAGTACAGTGCTTCACATAGTTTTTTTAGTGGGATCTTGTAATATGCTAGTTTCTTTTCTATCGGTTACGTCAGACTAAATAGGTGGTTTATTGTTCTGAGACCGGCTTGTTTTTTTGCCTCACTATCTTTGTACTCGTTTTCTGTTTTGGTATTTCCATACGCCCTGCCTAAAGTATTTGTCAGGAAAATTAAACCATAGTATTTCGAGCAAATATATTCAATATTATCTTAGCAGAGTGCTTCCGGCCTTCCGACCATCCTCAGTCTAGAAATAAGAGTATATGGTGCACTATGTTCATCAAGGAAGGGTTTGAAATGTTTGATATGTTTGGAGGTTCTTCTGATGTAACTGTTGAAGGTAGAATCTTAAATGAGCTCTCAGTGAGAAAGGTTTCAACTTTTGAGATGTGAAGATCCTTAGCCCGAATGGCCAGGAAGTTGCCCTTGTCTGCCTTGAAAATATTCAAATCATGGTTCTTAATTAGTTAATTCTTAATCCTTATCTTAAAAGAATTTAGCGCCTTGAATGAGACATCATATTCATGAGAATCGGATTTATTTAAATTGTCATTGAAATTTTGTAATTGTCCATTTAATGATTCCTGTGCACTTTAACTGACAAGTGGGTACAACCTTCTCCTCTCAAAATTTGGTTGGTTGCTGCTTTTGCTGTATACAACCTCACCGCTTCACGGGACAGAATTTTCTAACGGGCCTGTTGCTCTCTATTTTCAGTTAGCACTGAGGATGTGGGATGATTTTTCCTGGGCCAAAATAAAAGGAAAAAAGCGTATTCGCCTCATTGAATATCATACCTTCGTCAAGCCACTGGTTTCTTTCCAATAGTTGTGGCCACACTTTTCTTCAAACTTTTCATTCTTCCCAGAATCATTAGCAGTTAGAGGTTGAATAATGGGATTGATTTCCTTTTAGTAGGGTTAAAATAAATAAACAATTAATTTATTAATAAATCAAATCACAATATTTATTTTGGAACAGCTGATTGTGTGATCCGATTAGATTGACTAGATTGACAGCGCTCCAAATAAGGTCAATGACCGGTACTAACTTAATTTAAATAAGTCCCATGCCCCAACTACCATCAAGATTCCCCAGAAATTTTCCCCTTGCAGTTTTGACAGAACCTTTTTAAAGGACATTGAAGGGACAAGCAGATGTCATTCAGATCGAGGACTTGCCACGATTAAGTGTTCGGGAAAATTCCTCAGGCACATTTTGCCGATTTCTGAGTTGTCCACTTTTCGCTCATAGATCTAGGGTGGCTAATCCGTTATTTTAGCACCAAAGCGCCTTGCGCGGATTTCTTTGTGAGCCGAAAAAGAGCAACGTGATCAATTGTTTGTTCCTAAAGGCCAAAGTATTTTGGTAAGTGGTTTTTCTTGTTAGTCTTCTCTGTGTTTCTCTATTGCCTATGTAAAAGCATAGTTTTTTGTTAATTATACGGTTAAATTTCGAATATTGGACATACCTACCTATCGCTCCACGCCCAGTCTCATAAAGTCCATTTGTTTCAGGACTTTAGACGTTACCTTTTATTCGTCACGCTCTAGTCCTTAACTTGAGTAAAGAGTTAAACGTTAAGCTTACTGTATATTTCAAGTCGTACCTCCTGTTTTGAGCCTCCGCTGGACAATTGGAAGCTTTAGTGACCTCTAATTACTGAACTTCAGTGCCCAAGGCCAGTTGCTTCTTGTCGCGACCCTGATCCAGTCCCAGGCCATCGGAAACACTGGAAGATATTAATCTAATTCTTCAGGTTCCCCTCAAGGGATTAGGGACTACTCAGGTTTGATAAGTGTGTTGTGTTTATTTTCTTAATATCTGGAACCTATCAAACCTTACCAACTCCTAGTTGGAATAAATCACCACAGCAACGCAGTCTTCTACAATATTAAATTTGCCCTTCAGGTTTTTGTTATTTCAATTTTAATTAATTATCTATATTACCTATATTATATGAAACTTGCCCGTCAGGTTATATATTGTTATTTCAATAGGCTCCTTGCATCAATTTTTTTTATTGCTGATTTCG